TGTTGAAGTGAGACCATTGTGGTGAGGCTAAATGCGTAGAGTTGATATCATCCAAAAGTTCTTAACCGAGAAGTATGGTTGGCTTGCGGATCAGTCACACTGGAGAACATTGCTGAGTCAGCACAATGCAGTCTGCAGAGGAAGCAAGATTGATGAGTCACTTGAAGTCAGTGAGAAGAGCAGTGATTAGCAAAATGTGGAAGTGTTTTCGCTGTGATGGATGACGGCTGTGTGATTCGCATTCCCGCCTCGCTTTAGCTGTAGCTGTCAGGTCACTTGGGCACTGGCGCGATGACTGAGGCATGAGACCCACCACGCGAGGCATGAAGGGTGATGTTCAGTGGAGATGAGAATGTAATTCATTTGAAGTGAATGTGGTGCGCCGTGTCAATCTTCAGTTTCCTTCCATTTGGCTACCACATGGAGTGCGTGCAGTTGGTCTTTGCAACTTAGGCAATTAAGAACCGTAAGAACACCTGATAGACTTCTCCGTGGGCTCAAAAACGAACGCTTTCCTAAATGAATTGACTGTTGTGCTGTTAGCTGCTTTTCATGATGTCTCTTCCTGAAACAACAGTGGCGTCTTTGTTCCTCGTGAGAATTTTTGCATTCAGAGAAGCAACGACCCGGTAAAACATCCTACGCCATGCAAAACATCATTTAATGGATGTCCATTCCACGTAGAGTAAAGGTGTGCTTTGACAAGTGAACGAGTGAGAAACAGTGGTAAGTGGTGAGTTCAGGTTTCTGTCTTCTTTGCAGGATGGTTGCTCACAAATGTGGCTCTCATCTCTTCAAACACACCCTACTGCAAGTCGATGAAGTCGCCCTTGGCTCACAGTCAGTTGATACATTTGCCGAGCTAACAACCCAGTAGATTGTGCTCTAATAAATTTTCTCCACACTGATACACCCACGCTGTGGATGACAAAATGAAATGTGCCTGGCATTATGTCATTTGACTCAGCCCTGTGGACATGAATCAAGGAAATGGCTTGTGTTGTTGACAAGCAGGCACGAAGGACGATGGTGGCAGTGGTGACTAAACCCTGGGTGGAGGCGTGTTTTGCCATCACCGGAAGATACGGTATCAGCGAGGAGCAACTTGGGAGTCACCGCAACCAGAGAAGGCATGTCGAGGATGCTTGCGTGCATGCAGATCATTCAAGATGTTCGCGATGAACACGGAACCATTATGCCTTTCTACCTAATAAGGCATTCCTTGCCCAATTGCAAATCACTGTCAAGGGATACTCATTAACCTCACAGAAGTACAGAATCAGGGTATTTCTTCCAAATATTTCAGCTATTCGCCGTTGATTTTCATAGGATGACATTTCACCTGAGAGTCCTCTAATGGTCATCTTGGTGCCTTTCCCCTATTGCTCTTATTAAATTGGGGCTAAAATTCGTTCATTGCTGTGGAGAGTAAAGGCACTTCTTTGGTCTGCTAGACGTGCTTCATGGAAGCTACAATCTTTGTCCCATTCGCCAGTATCAGCGAATGGGCGTTCGGACATCATCGTGATCCTAATGGCACACTTTCCTTCCAACTTTGCAGCCCGAGGTCCGAAGTGCTCGTGGGACCAAGGAATGGCAGAAGTTCATCTGAAGAACAGATTGGATTCATCTATTGGTAATTCATGTAACTCATTTTTGTGATGTAGATTTGAACAACATACATTATGTGGGAACACCTTGATAGCTGAATGCATTGCAGTTAATTAATGCATTTATTCTTTCAAATGATCCAAAATGTTTTGCATCCCTCTGTGTATAAGTATAAATAGATCAGTATGGAGTGACAGAAGTATATACCATTTGAAGAAGATATTAGATTAATGGTGAAACATTCTGCAGATGTAGGTCCGCTCCTCCCTACTTATAACAAATCGGCCACCATTTCGAGATTCAGCTCCTCTGCCAAAGATAACTACTTGACTGCTAGCTAGGGCGGATTTATTTTGTGGTCTTAGTCTTATGATCCTCCATTATTAAAGGTAGGTATTCAAGCTAAAGGAACTACATGGACTACTGACAAACTCGTGATGGCACCCATATGCATAAAAGCCGTTGGAAATACAGGAAAACGCACGGAAATGCACAAATATGCACTTACGATGAAGCAGCATTAACTACATTTAGGTGATTTGGAACAGCTTTATTCGACCTATCCCTTATCTCCAGCACGAATACACCGCCATATTGCTCGTTAATCTAGAGACGCATAACATACCGATATGGTGGGTACACCCACCTGACTGACGATGATCATTGCAGCACGTTTTACTACCTTCCTCTTACCATACACCTGCATGTTGAAGGAGCCGACTTTAAGCCTCTCTTCCGAGGGTGCTATAAACAACCAGCAGCCACATAGTTAACATCGGGAAACTGAGTTGAAGGTCGCCACTCATCGCACCAATACGTGCAGTATTGCAGTGCAACGCCGAGGGGAGAGGCAGTGTTGTCATTGGTCAATGCGATAATGTTAGCTAGTCAACCGGTGAAGCAATTGTTGTTTTCATGGTCAAAACAGATGCGAAAGCTTTCCGTGTCACATTTATTTCTCACCTGCCTAATCTACTTCGCGCGTGATCTATCGAATTAGCTAACATCAAAGTGTAAAGTCAGTAAATGTGCAGGTATGGGAAATAGCATGCGATTGGTGTTATGTGATACGGTATCTTCCAACATCCTGAAAGAATAGGGCCTGTAGCCAGGTCTCAGCTCTAAATACTGGCTGGTCGTCAGCAAGTAAGCAGTCTCGTCTGCGATCTGCCACACCCATGGAGGCCACAGCGGCTTGGAGCAGTAGGCTGTCTGAGGAGTGAGCAATGCGTACATTTTCTTAGTATTAGAACACCAAAGCAATTGCTGAGTCAATTAGCAAGCAATGAGGGTAAAAGGAGACAATGTGTGTTGATAGCTTTCCGTCGGTTATCCGTTAGTGAATGGGGCATGGTCGCAACACCGTGGACCACAAATGATGCTTCACGCCTCAAATTAAACCCTTCATCACTTTGCACTTTTTAAAGCAATGGTCGTGAAACCACGTTAATTGTGTGGTTAATCCATTCTATTGTCAAAGTATCAATTGCATTACAAAGCAAGACATCTTGACAGTGAGGATAGATGGGAGCACTAAAGGTTCATGCTTCCATATAGAAGGAAAATGGAACAGTGACAAGCGATGAACAACATGGTAAAAGCGACACCCATCTTTGCGTGATCAATCACATAATTCAATGAATTTAAACCACCTCTCGGTTCCGCGTTCTGCATCCCTTAAGTCCAAAGCCGACCTTAGGCAACTCCAAAACCAAGTTAACCTCAGAAAACGACACCGAGCATTATTTGATGCATGGCGTATCTTCAATTAACGTAGGTATCTGGCAGAACCATTACTGAGTTCAGAACCGATGTCAAGGAATAATTGAAGGCTACTAACAAGCGCGAAAATCGACTTTGTCGCTTAAAAGTTGCATCAGGGTATGTGTGGGGAAAGTCGGGATCAACGAAGAGACGACGATGAAGAAGGACGGGACGGAAACGCAACGGAATGTGCACGATTTGAGGAAAGGGGGATGGTGGTGAAAGGAGGAGCAGTTACCACTGTTTGAGTCGAGAAGCAAGGCTGGCTGCCACGGATTGAGTGAAAGTGAGACCCGAGTCATATCGCGCCAGGCGAGCAAAGTGTTCAGGCATCCAGCGTTGAAGAACCTCCAGCGCAAGATTCAACTGCTTCAGCCACGACTCCATCTCTGCCGCCGAGTCCGCGCAGATCAAGTGACTACAGTCGAGTGGGGAGGACAAAATGGCGATTGTGAAGTCTTAAAGTATGCACTTTGACTGCTAGAAAGTGACAGTTGTTTCAATGCATACTTAAAAACGTGGACCCAGTCACTTCCGTGTAAGCAGATGAAAACAGTGAATATGGTAACTCGTATGTATGACTAATGAGCACGCAAGTGTACTGCACTGGCATCGTTAATGCCAATGAGGATTATGGATGATGAGTAGGTCAGTGGAACGACAGCGCGCAAGCAGGAATTCCCCTTAAATGCCATATAAATGAACAACAGTGAGGTTTGGTGTGATCACTCTGCCAACTACTAAGCAGGTCAATGCAAAACAAGTAAAACAGGGGAAAGAAGGCGGATAAATTAAAGTGGAGGCTGCACCACTATCCCTTACATTTCCTCTTTGTCAGATGTAATAGAAACTGGCTAGTACCAGGCCTTCCAGTCATCAAATTTGTAAATCAGCTCGGTTGGTAACCTTAGAAAGTAGATTTTCGTGTTGTTAAAAGCTACTGAATAATATCTCTTCTTGAAACAGCAGTGACCTCTCTGTTCCCCGAGAAAATTCTTGCATTCAGAGATGCATCAACCCGGTAAAACATCCCACGACATCCAAAACATCATCAAACGGGTATCCATTCCATATGGGGTGAAAGCTTGCTTTGGCAAGTGAAGAAGAGGGAATCAGTGGTAAGAAGTGGGTTCCGATTTCTGTCTTCTTTGCAGGATAGTTGCTCGCTGATATGGCCCTCATCTCTTCAAGTAAACACTATTGCGAGTCGATGAAGTCGCCTTTGGCTCAGACTCACGTCGCATATTTGTCCTGCTACCGGTCCATTTCTTCCACAATCACACACACACACACACACACACACACACACACACACATAGTGGATGACAAGAAAAAATGGACGTAACATGATGTCGTTTCACTTAGCCCTGTGGAATCGAACCAAGCGAATGGTCTATGTGGTTGACATGCAGGTGATTGGCAAGCATGCTTCAGTAAGGAGCTGCACTCACCGTTGCTCCATCCACTTGTAGTCAGGTGATGCACGAAGGAGAATGCTGGCAGCAGTGACCGAGCCAGTAGTGGGGGCCTGTTCTCCAACACTGGAAGATGTGGTATCAATGAGGAGCATCTTGGGGTTCACTGCGACCAGTGAACGCATGTAGAGGGTGTTTGCGCGCACGCAGATCTTTCGAGGCGCCTGCACCGCCCATGGCGCAACGACGCGGCGCAGATCAAGGCGGCTAATTGGAGCTGCTGCAGAGGAAGACGATGAGGCAGCAGCCTCTATCTCGTCCTCAGGGTAACGCCAATACACAAGCTGGTCAACGGAGAGCTTGCACCAACAACGAGTCCACACACCCATTCCACCGGATTCGTCGAACACCGTCTAGTAGTAGCAGCGACAGATAAGGTAGGACTTCTACTGGACTGAAATGTGGACATTACCTGTGAACTTTACCTACATTCGGCACTTCTACAGCCACGCTGGACAAAGCCTATGGCTTTCCGCTGCCGTCACTCAGCAACTAATCCCTGGAATATTGATAGTCGTAAGTTCGTTGATCAAATATCCAACATGTACCTAGCAGAGGTTCACCATCGACCTGGAGTTCATCTAATCTGTGTCTACGAGGTGATTCAGTGCGGATGTTAACATGTGTGAGTATATAAGACAAAATTCGTGTCCTGGGCCTTTGTATTTTTAGTGTACCATCAGCACTAGCTCAAACATTATCCCATGACAGGTCACTCCAATGCATAGAGCTAGAATCATCAGGAGTGCAGATAATGATCACGTTTTTGGAGAAATTTAGTTTTGAGAGGCGATGTCAAGCCTAGCATCTTCAAAACGTTATCTGCACTTCTACTGCCGTAGCACATAATTAAGGTTAATTCGAGTTTCGTTTTGACGGATGATTTTGCTCCTGAAAATGAGTCAATCGGACGGCGCTTTCGAACTTGGAAATGAGTCCTGAAGGGTAATAGGGAGACGACAGTAGGAAGTACAGCTTTAACCTAAACTACCCTAGATGGCTTTATAATGTTTAAAGTGGAAATTTTACCCAACCACACTGTGAACCATAAATTAGATGAACTAAGCTCTATTGGAACCAAAAGTTGTGCCATTAAATTCAGACAACCTGAAAATACCAGTGAACTGTTGGGCCTACAAAACGCCATCCATTATTCAAGAAGTTTTATTCGGTCAGTAATTTTAATCCTGATCACAAATGAACCTCGTCGGAGCTAAAGTGAAGCTGGCTGAAAGTCCCAACTGCATGCAAAATAGCGGCATATACAATATCTAAAGGGGTTGCCAATCTCCAATAAACCAA